TAAAGATAATTACCTCTTGTTTATGACAAATGATGTTGGTATTAAATTTATGATTGCTTTATTCCAAGAATTATTAATTTTACTACAATGTAGGCAGTACGCATATAAGGTACATGGGCAGTTGGTATGTGAACAATAGAATCTTAGGAAACATTGGTTTCTGGGAAGTTTGAGTGTTTCTCAAGCTTGATTTGTTGGTTGATTTTTTTTTCACTGAATCAACCAAGTCAGTCGGTTGTTTGATGTAAGACAGACATAATCACTGGTGACTACAAACTTGCCACATATTAATAAAATGCAACTGTGTTTACATCTAATGGTAGTTTTTAAAGGAGATCAATTCTTTCAACGCCCTCTGAAATAAACATCTGTTGGTAGCCCCGTCTACCTTTAACTTGAGAGAAGGCTCTGAAAATTGGAATAGATCTGTTGACCTCAACAAGATCGCAAACACAGTGCCATTGAGAGCAAGGAATCTTGTGATAAGACTTGGTTAAAAAAAAAAAAAATCATAAACACCAAGGCTGTTTGTATATTTTCAAAAATTATTATCTAAAAAATATTTTCAAAAATTCTTATAGAACTTCTAGAGCTAACCACAGAATACGTACAAGATCCCCCTTCACCTAGGATATTTGAGAAATATTTGGCTTCTCAAACACATTTGTTTAACTATTTTTTTTCTAACTTCCTACTCTCTAAAGCTAAGACTCCACAAATAATATGACCCTAAAGCTGAAATGAAAGAGAAACAACCGATTATATATATATACGTACTAGCAAAGCACACTGGGAGTTGGTGCCACACTGTGAATTGGAACAGAGCCACAGAATATTGAAACACAGGCTTTACCAAAGGAGCTCACAGGCTAGTTGGGCAGAGAGGGGCGGGGAAGGCAACCGTAAGACAAGACAGGATATAAATGACTTAATTGCACAAATCAAAGTTACGGGGATTTGAATGAAGGAAACTTCTCATCAGTAGGGAATAACAACAAAGCCCTAGAAGAGATGGGCCCTGAAGAGTGAGCAGAATTCAGACAGAGTGGGTATTCTAGATAGATCACCCTCCAACTTTTATTGAGAATATTCTCTGTACTAAGGGCAGAGGGCACAAAGAATAATATAATAATGATATTGATGATAATAATAATAATAATCTGTTATAGAAAAACACCTCAGTGGAAGACATGGGTGCAAATTTTTACCACACAGTGTATTAACTAATGTAATAGAACTCTTTAGAAGCAACCAGGGAGGAAGAAATTATTTCTACCTGGGGAATTGAGAAAGCATTTATAAAGGAAATGAACTTTGGTCTGGGCTTTGAATGATGAGTGGAGCTTTACCAGATGGAAAAAGATGAGAAATATATTCCAGACAATGAGCACAACCTATGATAAACCATGAAGGCATAAAAGAACGTAATGTGTTTGGGAAGGGTGAGAACCTTCTATGTGGTTAGAGTGTCCGGGAAGGGGGTGAGAATGGACATAGTGATTACTAGAGAAAGTGCCTGGAAAGACATGTAGAATCTAATTTGTGAAAGGTTATGTATGCCATGCAATGGAATTTAAACATCATTAAGACATTGTTGTAAGTAAGACAGTGTAGTTCAGATCTCTGTTTTTAGAAGTATCATTTTGGGGACAGGATAGAGGTGATACAGGAGAAGTGGTGCAGGGGAGGTAAGAGGAGGTGCCCTGAACAGACAGAGTCTTGCATGGGAATATGGCCTAAGAGTAAGGGAGTTTGGAGTGAATTGTAGAGTGACTTGGAGGTCATATTGAGGTGTTGGCATTGAGTTCTGTAACAACAGAAAACCACCAATGCTGTACTTTATGAAGACTGATCTGGAAAGTGTCTATGGAACCTATTACCATGGAGAGACTTGAGGGCCCAGCTCGGGCATAAGATGTGGCACATACCACTGGTTGCTGATCTACCACCTGTTCTGTCCCTGCTTCTTCCTTCCTAACTGAATCCTGGTTTTGTTCCATTATCTTCTCTCCTCTTCCTAGCCATGGTCTTCAGAAGATGAGGCCCTATTCCCTGCCCAGAGGATGAATCTGTTCTAGGATAAGACTACGGAGTTCATTTCTAGCCAATGACATGTGAAGAAAATCCTCTAGGGACCCCTAGGAAATATCTTCTTTTTTCAAAAAAGGGAAACACAGGAAAAGACAGTCTCTTTTGCTGAAAGTTGTCTCCATGTGGCACTTGGAACTGCCAGGCCACCAGTTTGCTGTGATAAGAGGATCTAGTCCAGGGACAAAGCAAATATTCAAGTAACCTGGTTCCTTGATGATGTTAAGAGCCACTGATTTAAACAAACTTGGAACTGCCTTCCCTTCAGACATCTTAAAAGATGAGCTGGGGCTTCCGTGGTGGCGCAGTGGTTGGGAGTCCGCCTGCCGATGCAGGGGACACGGGTTCGTGCCCCGGTCCAGGAGGATCCCACATGCCGCAGAGCGGCTGGGCCCATGAGCCATGGCCACTGATCCTGCGCGTCTGGAGCCTGTGCTCTGCAACGGGAGAGGCCACAACAGTGAGAGGTCCGCGTACCGCAAAAAAAAAAAAAGATGAGCTGGTTTAAGAAAAAAGCTAATAAGCCAGATTTTATACATTCATATTGAGCGTGAGGTGAAGGTGTCTACAGAGAAAGTTCAGGGTTGGCATGTCGGGGAATGAAACCAAAAGCCAAATACAGTTTTTTCCCTTGCCATAGGCCTGGTAGAATTACAAATACTCCTTGCTACATTGTCTACTATTAATTATTTCTGTCTTCATAAGTATAATTAATGCAATTTATGTCAATAGCAATAATGGATAACACATAATGTACTGAACAATTTCCTACTTGGGAAATTCCATTAGTGCTTTCACAACACTAATGTTGGTGAAAGGCTTCTGCTATTACTTCAGTTCACAGGAATATGTACGTGTGCAGTGTGGCAGAAAGGAAGGAACATGTATCTGGGCTCAGATAGCTGCCCCTCCACCAGGTTACCATTTGGCCCTGGCCAAACGGTTTAATTACCGTAAACCTCAATTTGATTTCATTTTAAATAGATTTCATAAAACTTACTTTGCAGGGTTTGTGCTTAGTAATGGTGATACAGTATGCACCCACATTTTCAAAACAGCATTTTAAAAAATTGAAGTACAGTTGTTTTAGAATGTTGTATTAAATTCTGCTATACAGCAAAGTGATTCAGTTATACATATAGATACGTTCATTTTTAAATTGCATTTCCCTTTGTTCTTAAAGTTCTTAAAACTGTTACTTATAGATTATGATCACCTTTTTTTTTTTTTTTTTTTTTGCGGTACGCAGGCCTCTCACTGTTGTGGCCTCTCCCCTTGCGGGGCACAGGCTTCCGGACGCGCAGGCTCAGCGGCCATGGCTCACGGGCCCAGCCACTCCGCGGCATGTGGGATCTTCTCGGACCGGGCACGAACCTGTGTCCCCTGCATCGGCAGGCGGACTCTCAACCACTGCGCCACCAGGGAAGCCCATATGATCACCTATTCTTGATTTCCATTTTAGTTTTCCCCCTATCAACGTCACTGCTAGCTCAAGAACCCTCAGGTCCCAGGAAGGAGGAGTTACATATCTGTTTATGGAACTCAAGGACACGGATGCAGCCATGCCAATTGCCTGGCAGGATCACTGCGTCAAAAGTGCAGGCTCAGTCATTTTGCTTCCTCTCTTATTGTAGCATGAACTTTCAGCACTCAGGAGAACTGATCCCCTTGGACTCCGCAGTCAGCCTGTGGAAAGACTGGGAATTAGAAGTGGAGCTGGGCTCATGGAGGGCTTGAGCCTACAACATGGGCTCCAGTTCAGCCGGACAGAGAGGCCATTAGTGGGATATGAGGATCTCTTGCAACTAATATTAAATATGTACTTTTATTGTTCACTTGTCCTTGTGCCTTGTACGCATTGCTCGGGAACCACAGTAAGAGTGGATCACGCCAACCCAGGATTTATATATTTTTATTGTCGTCAGCCACTGGCAGGGTTTAATGCGTTTTGACTAAGCACCAATCTTGACAGTGTCCCTGGATAATCTGAACACTTGGGTTCATTCCTTTTTAATTTAATGACCAATTAGCCCTAGTTAGGACATGTTCTTCTGTAGCTTTTATTGTGTGTGTGAGAGTTACCTGATAATTATGGATGTCAGTTTCCCTTTGATAACTGGGAACAAAAATGTTTCCACTTCACTTGTGAAAGTCAAATGTTTGCTTTTATGGCAATACATTCATTATATAAACTCCAAAATCCATCAGAAATATTTGGTCATTAAATGATTCACTACTTTTTTTTAAATAACCACTCCCCCAGGAGCAGGACTGGGGGAGGGGAGAACATAGTTTCTTTTCCTCTTCCTGGGAGTAGCCCAGCAGAAAAAATATACGTAGTGGACACACTCATGTATAATGAAGGAAAAAAAACCTTCAGTGTTTATCTCCCAACCTGCACTTTGTACTTTCTAGGTGAACTTGAGTTTGCCTGCCTTCCCTATTACACATTCAATCGGAGTTCTAACTTGAGTAAAGTAGAAGAAGGTGAAACTGAAATCAAATATTCATCTGATTTATATGAGTTCATTCTCTGTCCACCTGTGTTCCTCCTCCTCATAGAAAAACCTATATATAAACACCACAGCTACTATATGAAAGTAAACAAGTTTAATAAATGCATATCCCGTTAGCACAGAGATATTCTGAGCTGAGTGGGATTCTTTGCATTTTTTAAGCCAGGGTTTCATAATGAATGTTGATATTTTGGAGCAGGGCCTGGAAAACTGCACAGAAGCAAATATGCTCCCATATTTTATAGAAAATTTGTATTTCTATAAAATCCTAACTTCTTCCTCTAGTCTACAAGGTCCTGTATGAGGCAGGCCTAGCATCTCCCACTCACTCTTCTCTCCAGGCACACTGGCTTTCTGCCTTTCTTTTCTAACTCACCAAACTGGTTTCCACCTCAGGTTCTCTGCATTCCCTTTGCCTCACCAGACCTTCACATGACCTGTCAACCGCTACGTGTATTATCACCTCCTCAGATAGCCTTCCCTGCCCACGCTGTTGACACGGGGCTGCCCAGTAGACACATCAGGTGAGATAAATGGGGGTCAGACATGTAATTGTACAATTCCTAGTAGCTACACTAAACAAATTAAAAAGAGGTAAAATTAATTTTAATAATGTTTTTATTTAATCCAGTAGCTCTAACATATCATTTCAACATACAATTTGTATAAAAAATTAATAAGATAGG